CTCTGTAAACCGCTTAGAGAGGGCTGAAAGCCCTATGAAGCGGTATATAAGTCTAATTGCTAATTGCTATTCTTTGGGTCAACATGCTAATTTAATTCCATCAGAAAGACAGAACAAAACAATTCCAGAATCCCTCCACAGGGTGCTCAAACTCCCAAGACATCTGGGATACACAGCTACAATCAACAGAACCTTCCCTTCCTCACCCACGTTCCTATCCTGAATGATGGCTATCAGCTGTCACCTAGGGAACGAAACAAAACCAGAGTAATCAGGATTTTGAGTCATACCTAACATGAGACAGACAAGAAGACACACATACACAAACCAGGACAATACCATTTGTTGTCAATAAAGAGCAAAGGCAACAAAGGGAGGATGGGGATCGTAGATAAGGATAGCAAATTTTGGGTCCATGCAGTTTTCTGCTGAAAACTGTAAGGAAGTAGCATTTTAACTCAGCAATGGAGAAAGATTTGCACTAAAAGGTGATTGTGTAAAATCCAACTCTTGGGTTCCTGTGGGTAAGAAAAACAGTAGCATTTCAGGCCCTCACATCAGGGCAATATCTGTTATGAAAATCCAAGGGAAAAAATAAGTTATGGGGTCAAAAACCAAGTAGAAATCAGGAAGACGGTTGTTGCAAACAGGAATACCTGCTGGGAGGGAAGGGTTTAGGACAGACATGGTTCTGTATTCTCAGGAATTATGGGGAAATAAATATTCTGACCCACAATTAACACAGAGCTGTGCAGAGACCCAAATAGGGCAATCTCTGAAGAAGACATATAGCTCCTGCTGCTGTGAGAGTGAGGAAAAAGGGAGTAATGCTGTTTTGAAAGTAATGTATGCATGGCTGGCAGGGGAATTCTGGCAGTTGAAGCCAACAAATCTTAAAGTTCCCAACTTTGGACACCCCTGATTTAAGCTGTTCAACAATTTTGCACAAAATACATTTTCTGTTGGACAGTTGGTGCATTCTGAATGGATGCATTGATTAGAACAAATAGCATCTAGCATTATTTTAATAGTATAAACCTTGATTCTTGACAAAGACTATCATTCCTGGAAGTAATAGAAATTTTCATCTCCCATTCCACCCCTTTCCCATCCTTTGGAGGAATATTAACATGCTTGCTAAGACTTTGCCGTCCTGTCGGATTACAACAAAAGAGATCCTGCAGAATGCTGACAGGGCCATCTCCGTTAATCCATTTCTCTGCCCGTCCTGAAACTTGCACCTGTTCAGTTACAGATAGTAATAGTGCTTCAGCGGGATTAAGCCCATCCTGAAATTTACATAACATTAGAAGTATTTCTCAGTGTCCACAGCAGATGGAGACAATGAGAGATGGGCCAATCTTATGCTCTTCTGGTTGTGTTTAAATGAGAGCCAATCAAGAATAGAGACCAAATTTCTCCAGTGAGTGCACCAGATTAACAGGTCCCAGCTCCTAATTGATTCTATCTCCTCTAACTCCAAAAAATTGGCTGCTTGTAACTGGCTTTTGTCCAGCACTCTGAACCTTATAGTCTTTCCCTTACGCTCCAGGAAACCATAACAGGGTTTGTCCTGAATTCAAAAA